CTGACTTAGAGTCTTGTCGCTTGAGGTTTCACATCTCTCTTAGATGTACGCATAAATTAAAAAACACTAGTGGACCACTGCTTTTTGTCGCTGTTTGAATCTTCTGTGTTCAATCTTCAATGTTTTAACATTTTCATGCTACCCCCTGGACTTGCTTGAGTGCCAGAAATTCCAAACGGCTTTTCTCTCCGCTGTTTGACCGTAGTGTTCGTTTGGAAGCTCAGACCTGAACTGCTTCTCACTGTAAATCCTGGGAGGCTAATGGGTGCACAAGAGATGGCTTCTCGCCAGTTTATTTTTAGGAAGTAAGCGCTGTTTTTGAAATAAACTCTGCTAACTTCCTGCTGAGTGGCAAATGAAATCCCACAAACCTGAAAAGGGGTAATGCTGAAAGATAAATACAAAGCTTTCAAAAGGGAAGAGTTTTTTGCAAATGGCCAGCAAACAGCTTTGTAAGATGAGAAGAAACCTATGATGCATCAGACTGAATTCCCCATGGAAGCTGGGTTGCTTTTATACTGTTAGTATATAGTCTGTTGTCAATGTCTGATATCGCGTATAACTTAAACTAGTTTCACTAGAGGTCAGAGTATCAGGAGCTTTTTTCATGCTGCTTATGCTTTGCAAAACAGCTGTCCAGTCAGCAGCATTTAAGTAATAGGATTTGATTCAACAGTTGTCTCCTGATGTATGGTCTTTGTCATGATAATATTTAATCATACGGATAGTTTGTCTATAATATGTAGAAATGAGGCAAGTCCTCTCCACAAAGCTATTTAAAACTTCAAATCACATTGCCATTCCGCTGGACATCCGAGTGACCTAGTGTAGGACAGTTAGCAGTAGTGTTTGGAGCGGGGTGAGAGTTGGTCTCAGGGTATGGCCAGCGTTTGTGTAAGGGTAGGTTCATGGTAAGTATCAGGTTTTAAGGTTGAAGAGAGATTTGGGGCTAGGGTTCTAATCAATACATCTTGTTTGGAACTGTTGTTGATTTTTGTATTGACAGGGGTGAATACTCCAAGTGGGGGTAATTCATGGAGTACTGGCGAGATCTGGATAAGGAGCTGCTTAACTTATATAAACGATTCAGATTGTGGTATAGTCTGGTATACAGCATTTGGTATAAACTAGCCTTTGTGATAATTTGCAGCAGATACCAAATTAGGAAGATTAGCAAGTACTGTACTGTAGAAGCAGCAAACGAAATTCAATAAGATTTACAGTAGATAAACTTCAAGACTGAGCAAACACCCGGAAAGTAAAACACTGTACTTTTCAATTTCCTGTTGGCAAATGTAGGGTTTTACTTGCAGGAAGCAAAAACATTAGAAATCTAAAGTATGAAACTGGGGTAGGTTTGAAAAAGACTTTTCACAAAAGGTTTTTGTGTGAAGACATCATTTACATATCCTTGACAATGTAGGGAAGCAAAAGGTAGAACTGTGTAGAATTTATACTGATGGATAATATGGTACATTAATAAGGCCAAGTTTTGAGGCCTTATTTATATCATAATGTACAATGTATGATAAGGCCTCATTTAGAATATTGTGCACAAGTTTGTTAAGAAAAAGGATGTTGTTTGGGAATCAGGCCAGAAAAGAGCCACCAGATACATTCTGGGGTTTAAAGGAAGGTCTTCATTGTCAGCTGCTAGGACCAAATGGAGCCAAGTGGTTTGAACAGCCTCTGCTATGTTGTAAATACTCTGGTGCCATCTGGTGGTTGCCTTGAGTACTGCTTTACCATTTTCCAGTACATTTGAGACGTAGAATTCTAAGCGTATTGCAGTGGTGGTTATTGGCCATTACCTGCTAAATGCAGCTTCACTTAAACCATTGTGCGCTGTATCACTGTTATGTACAGTGTATCCCTGCTGTCTGCTCTGTTTTAACTATCATATTAAACAAGTGTTTAAGACATCACATACTATACAGGGATGACATCCTGTAATGTATCATGTTGCAGCTACAGTAAGTGGTCATATTACACCTCTGGGGAGAAAATATTTTTACAACCTGATTCTCTGTAAGATCAGTCTTGAGTGCTGGCCACAAGCTCTCTGTATTACAGATGGATTTATCCCTTGTCTTGCATTCTCAGAATAGGAATACAGCTCTTTAAACTTTTCATTACAGTAAACAAAGTTTGAGAAACACCCAGTCATAAGTAACTCAAAGAATGTCAAAGAAGGAGTTTGTCCAAATTAAATTATTTAATTAAAAGAAAAAAAATGTATATTCCAAGTCAATCTGGGGGTAAATCCACTCTTCTTTATACACGGGTGAAATCAAGACACTTTCATAATTCCATAAATTTAATGCTAACTGAAATATACTGTACAGCTACCCTACCTTTCTTAATATAGATGTATTTCAAAGTACTGACCAATATTTTACAGGGACAAAGTTATACAAATCTAAAAAATATTGCATCTGCCAAATACAAAAGTAACTATATAATCTTATTCGCCTTTATATTTTTGTACAATTCGTAATAGAAACATTTGTCTCAAGACAATGACAGTAGCTTTTTTTGTTTGCAATTCTCTTATCGGAACAGAGCAGCTGGGCTTTATAACACAGGAACCTTTTAAAGGCGTCATCATCACATAGCATGGGCTGTGCCTATAGGTTCTGAGCAATTCTTGCACACAACTAGGGCCATACTGTTCAGGAAGCCTGTATTGCTCATCACAATGCCTTGTGGGTCAATGCAGCCCAGAACTGATCAAGCTCAGGGATGATTCTTTGGGGGGAAAAGCTTCAGAAGGCACACACAGATTGTCAATGAGAGGTGACATATGCTGAAAGACATGAAAACGATGGACAGGGGCCATGGGTTTCAGCTTGTTCAAGGGCATCATGGACGAACAGAATTTTCTATTCTATGTTGATCAAAAACAGAATTTTCACTGTGCAGCAACAAGTGGCATTAAAAAGAACCCATCTCATGACTACAAAACTGCAACTTGCAAATTTTCAGATGTAATTTTTTGTGCAACAGTTCTTTGGCCACATATAAGCACATGCCAAAAAAACCAAAAACAAAGTCATCCACATCCAACAGCCTCTCATTCCATCGTGCCTGGAACTTAAAGAAAATGGAGTTTTGGATCTTCGAATGGAGGTGTCCACAACATTGGCTGATGACTTGTCCCAGTGATGTCTGTCTCTAGGGACAGCCCCCAGTTCAGTTTTAGACTTCAAAGCTCCTTGTTTGAATCCTCTGCTAATCCTGCCCCGTGATGATCGTCTCCGTCATGGCATGGAGGGAAAGGAGATGCAGGAAACGTGAGAGAAACCCCCAGGAAGTCTGGCGTACCTGCGCCTACAGCATCCTAAGAGAATTTGTGGCTTCCAGCAGCCTGTGCAGGAGACTCTCAGCTGGGGTAGAAGATCCTGTCGTACTCGTTGAGGATGTACTCCACAATCTGGTTCTGGAAGACCATGTACATGGTGATGTTGGCCGACTCGGTCTCCGGTCTGAGGAGCGTGGGGCCGAAGACTATCGCTATGCTCTGCACAGACATCCGGTTGTCCTCTCTTCTTTCTATCACCCTGGGGAGGGCAAGCGAAACAAAAAGTTTAAAATAAACTGAACGACTTTATTACCTAGGAACAAGTAATAGGTTTATTCCCTGCTGAAAAGAAGAAGAAAGAGAAGAACAAGGCTCCACAGCCGAAACGTTGCGTTTTCTTTCTTCTCTTTTCAGCATGGAATAAACCTGTTACTTGTTCCTTTGCAGCCTACGCATGCTGACGCAGTTACCCACCTGAACTACTTTATTACCTAGCTGTTTATGTTGCCAGGGTCTGGTTATCAAATAGCATGGCAATAGGATGCAATGCAAAATGGGAACCTTTTAGTAGATGTTTCTGATCCGTTGCTCTTAAGAAGGATAGGGCTCAGCTCAGGCGACCTCCGCCTGGTTGGTTAGCCCTCCTGCCCTTGTACCCACCCCCGTGGAAGCTGTGCTGCATAAGGTTTAAAACAAGGCAGGGGGGGGACCAAGACTCCACCATCAGGAGCCAGAGATCCAGAGAACAGAAGCTGAGGTCCCACAGGGACTCACCTGCGCAGGTGGCGGAAGAGCTCCTGCATGGTGTCTTGATTGGGCTGCGGGAGAGACCTCACCAGGTCCCTCATGTAAGTCACCTTCTGGCTGTTATCGCCAATATCTGCGCAGGACAAAGAGCACCAGTGTATGACGGAGTGGGCACACAAAGGTGCAATAGTATTTCAAAGGAGTCGGGACCTCTGCACTGTGCCAGAGATCAAACCAAAGCAGTGCCAATTAACTACTGAAATCTGTAAAGATACAGAGGAGCTAATGAAATCATTTGACTCAGGGAATACATAAGAAACGTGTTCATGCAATGAAGGCTGGGGTTGACAGTTCAACTACAGTACCGCTGTAGGGACTGTTATTGCTATCTGTTGCTATAGTTACTGCATCCACTAATACGGATGAGAATTAGAACACCGATTTAGATGCAGATGAATCTTTTCCAGTACTGTAAGCACACTGGAAACATGCGTGGTTTTAATTTTTCCATGGAGACAGGCATCCAGTTCCTGGGAAACAAAAAGGTAACCATCTCGGTCCTGCGTTCCAGGGGAATAGAGACCCTTCGGAAAGAGATGTGTGTGGGAAGAGAGGACGGCGCGCTCACTGATGGCAGCGATGAAGTTGTTGAAGTGGCTGAAAGGGAAGAGGGGCTCGGGCAGTTCCCGGAAGAAGAGCTTCAGGGCCCCGGTGATGACGTGGATGTCCTCCCACTGCCCGTCCTCCAGGTTCAGGCTCTCCTCTGAAAGCAAGGGGACAGGGTCAGGGGGGGTCAGGGGGGGTCGGTGTACACCTGTTTCGGGTTGGTCTTCTGTCAGAAGTGTTAAAAACTTGAATGAGTTGATTAAACTATGAACTGGCTTCATCACTCTGTTCTCCCCACTGAGAGCTGGTGTGTGGGGAGCGGACTGGTGCATCATCCAGGTGGGGCTGCACACTGGTGATGGTGGAGGGGAGTCCCCATTACCAGTAAAGCGCTTTGAGTGGAGTGTCCAGAAAGCCCATATATAAGCCTAAGGAATTATTTTTTTTTATCATTTTTATTATTTAAAACCTTTTCTGTGAAACATTGCGGGGTTTAATTCACACTTCCAGCGCTCACAACGAAAGCGAGGGGGAAACATTCGGACGGGCGCCGCCCTAAAACGGTCGCTGCTTTCCTCGGGTCAATGGGGGTTCGATTCTCGACAGCGCAGAGGACATTTCACGCTGAAACTTGGACGGTTTTCTATTCTCTACTCCAGTGCGGGGCGCCTTTGGAGCGTCAAACTACCAAGAGGGAGCAGGTGTGCGCAGAGACGAGCAGGCGGCAGGGCGTCAACAGAGAGACAGTCTGGGACCTCTGTGAAGGTCTTTCAGAAGCCACGAAAACAGCCGGTTTCACTATAATACTCGCACACGAGTGAGAAGGCCTTACCCTGATCCACTTTGATGCGCAGTTTCTGGATGACAGCCAGGTTTCCACTCACTCGGTAAATTCCATCAATTTCCAGACCTTTTTCACCCCGGGAGAAAACACAGCGGAGACAGACCTTTAACAACCCGTTCAGTGCTTAAAAAAAAAAAACTGCAACACCACGAAACAAAAAAAACAACCCGTATATAATACGACATCCATAATCCTTGCCCTGGCGATGGCTATCTTAGAAATCGAAGGAATTTTCAACACGCGCAGAAAAATCAATTGATCTTTAAAATGCTTGCGGGCGCAGTCGGGGCGGTGCGGGTTGATCCCCCCAGCCCAGAAGAGAAAGATCAAGGGGGCACCTCGTTTTTCCACGGCCTGGATGCACTTCTCCACGAAGGTGGGGATCGTCACATTCTCCCTCTCGCACAGCGCGTCCAGCCGACAGCCAAACACTTGATCTACAAGACAACCAGAGGGGGGCGCTCTCGAAGCGTTACAAAATAAACCATTTAACACAACACGCCCAGGTTCACCAGACTTTACAAAATAAAAAAACACGGGTGGCTCAATCTCTAGAATGCCATTCAATAGGCGGAATACAGCACAGCAAGACACAAAAAGCGCTTTTTATTATTTGAAGACGGGGTTCACACAAGCTAGATTACGTTCAAACGGCTTGTGTGCAGGTAGCAATTCTGCTGTAACTGGAGGAGAAAGATGACATTTGATTATTTTTTTTACAGTCGTCCACAACATAAAAGAAAGAAAGAAAGATGACAGAGAAAGGTTTGGTAAGAAAAAAACAGAAGCTGAATAGTCTAGCAAAGAGAGGGAAAAAAAGGCACAGACTAACAGGTCGTTTACAATTCCCCGGTGCTTTCCTGTCTGAAGAGATTCAGGCCAGATTTCCAGTGTTAGAGGCCGGGGGCGCTCCTCACCTCGGATGTAGCCCCTCTCCTTCACGGACTGCAGCGTCGGCCTCTTCTGCAGGAATTTCTTCAGCTTGGTGCGCACTTTCTTCTGCTCCGCGTCGCCGGCGGAGCTGGGAGCGGCCGGCTTCGTGGCTACAGAAACGAGCAGAGGTGTCGCCCGACCATAGGGAGGCAAATTCAAACTCTGCCCCGCCCCGACTATCCGTTTCTACACGACGCGAGTCGGTGCCCGCCAAGGACAGACGCCCAAGAGTAACGATCCGAAGTGTGATTTTGCGAAGCCGATGGGAAAGACGACGATACCCCGGTGCAAAGATCTGATTGAATACAGCGCAGGTCCCAACGCACGTTGATAAACGACTTTTGTTTCATACAATGTAATGATGTAAAATGCATTTAGATGTGGTAAGGTAAAAAAAAAATTGGATCATCGTACCGGTCCAGAAATTCAAACCATCCCTGGAACAACCAGAAAGGTCTTGGTTTAACTAATATCAGCCTGTATTGTGTAATTGTAATGCTTTGATTTCGACAATGTACACTGTGAGGCATTAGCTCTTCATTACTCACATGAGTTAGAACATACCACATTTGAATTCGTACTTTATTCCTTACTTTTATTCCTTTTTCCTTCCTTAGTTAATGCATTATACTAACTCTTCACCACTGCGATCTAATCTAACTCTAATTACACATTCGCAGCTAACAACCTAAGATACATAAGAAAGATTACAAGCAAGAGAAGGATATTCAGCTCATTTAGGTTGTTCGCAAGTCGCCTTTAGAGCTGGTGATCTCATGCAGTCATTGCTTGAAAGGGTACTGTCTTTGATAAGATGACTGGGTAGCTTGTTCCAGACTCCCACACCCCTTTGTGCAAAGAAGCACCTTCTGCTTGTTGCTTAAAAGTGCACTTTTCCGGTCATAAAGAATTAATACATGCCTCATAATGTACACATAAAAACAAAGCACTTTCTGGTTTACAGGCTGATATCATTTAGTCTTCCCCGGTGTTAGACCCTTGTGCTTAATATCATCCTTATGAAAGTGTATTAATAATAATAATAATAATAATTGCTTACACTTATATAGCGCTTTTCTGGACACTCCACTCAAAGCGCTTTACAGGTAATGGGGATCCCCTCCACCACCACTAATGTGCAGCCCCACCTGGATGATGCGACGGCAGCCATAGTGCGCCAGAACACTCCCCACACATCAGCTACCAGTGGGGAGGAGAGCAGAGTAATGAAGCCAATTCATAGAGGGGGATTATTAGGAGGCCATGATTGGTAAGGGCCAATGGGAAATTTGGCCAGGATGCCGGGGTTACACCCCTACTCTTTTCGAGAAACACCCTGGGATTTTTAATTACCACAGAGAGTCAGGACCTCGGTTTTACGTCTCATCCGAAGGACGGCGCCTGTTTACAGTACAGTGTCCCCATCACCATACTGGGGCATTAAGACCCACATGGACAGCAGGGTGAGCACCTCCTACTGGTCCCACTAACACCTCTTCCAGCAGCAGCCTTAGTTTTTCCCAGGAGGTCTCCCATCCAGGTACTGACCAGGCTCACACCTGCTGAGCTCCAGTGGGCTGCCAGCTGGGAGTTGCAGGGTGATATGGCTGCTGGCATTAGAACAGTAAATAGAAGGGGAGAGGGTCACGGACTTTTTTAAGGAAACTTGTAAGGGTGCATGAAAGAACAGCGCTATTTCAGGCCCACTGGCCCTGGAATACATACCGGCTCTCTTCTTGTCCTTCTCGTCCCTGTCCGTAGGTCCGGGCGACTTCTCGCTGCCCCCAAAGTCACCATCCTCCTCCTCCGAGTGGTGTCCGTGGTCCTGAGGAGTGCCAGCCAGCCAAATTGATGACATTTATTTTCCTCCTGTTGGGCAGCCTTGTCATGCCCCTGACACAGCACAAACAAGCATGGAGGACCCAAACACAAACACGCGCACACTCTCACCTGTGCTAATTCACATACCAGCGTGTGTTTGGACTGTGGGAGGGAAACGAAAGCTTTCAGAGGAAACCAACAGAAAACTTGGGGAGAACATGCAAACTCCACACGGATAGAACTCCAGGAGTTGAACCCAGGACCCCAAGGGCTGTGCCACCATTTCCATCGACAGCTATAAATATTAAAGGAGTTGAGGCTCACCAGCTGCCGAATGGTGTCCATGATCACTTTGTGCCAGTCTTGGATGATGCTCTCTGTGTCGTACTGTATGAGATACTCGGACCCATGCCGCGTTTTCAACTAAAATAAAAATTTAAGAAAACATGTCAGGAAATGTCAGGGTTTGTTTTTGTCTTTCACAAATGGACTGGAGGGACTGAATGTCTTTAGTTTTTGAGGAAACAGCTTAAAACGTGTCATGATACACCTATTCAAAATCAGCCCAACCTGACCCAGTGGACTCAACAATCCCAGCAAACTCGACACACGAGCGAGCACATAAATGGAAATGAGGACACGTATTTAAGACGAATACTAGGACACACATCTTTAAAAGGGTTGTTGGTGTGTGAAAAAGTCAGTTCAAGTAGTTAAAGCTTTATGATACTCTGGGGGAAATTCGTTTTATGGCTCAGTCCACCAATAAAACAAGCACGGCAAACCTCAACAGAGAAGACAGCGCAATGATGTTACAGGAGATCAAGTCTTTTCATCGATGGTGACATACTGCAACGCTAACTCCTTAACTCCCCACATACCTCCAGCACATTCTTCTTGCTAGATTTATCTTTTCCTGCCCAGGATATCGTTGCTCCTCGCAGCTCTACAGTGTACTCGGGAACAATCTGATTCGTCTTGCTCTAAGAGGCAAAAGAAAGCAGCCTTTACAGAGCTGATGCTACAACAGGATGCCTAGTTCCACCTGGCTGTGATGTTACATAGTTATCAGAGCCGCTGATGAAAGAATTTAAGCCACCTTTTATTGGTCAGGATTATCAACTGTAAAAAAAGGCAAAACTAAAACATTTTTTTACTACGTTTGAGTGATATGTGTAATGCTGTTACACTCACTGAGACTTTTATTCAAAGCAGCATACATTTGTACAGCTAGGTAAAATTAATCTGAATGATGTACCTCGTTCAGGGTACAATAGCTGTGCTCCACCTGGGATTTGAACCTGCAACCTTTGAGTTATGAAAGCAAACAACTCCTCCACACTGCTGCCTTGTTTCCTTTTACAGGTTGCACCGTATCAGCTACATTGTTATTAGGAGACTTCATTTTCCATCTCTGGGTTTGCGTTGCTAGCAGAATAGGAGCAGAGCTCGCTGTCACACTAACACACGTTTGGCAGTGTAATTGCTTCTCTCACTCACAGCTGTTCCACTCTGCTGAGATTTGGGGTCCTTGTTAAAAGTGAGTATCCCTCCATGGAGAACTGTCCACGACTGGGCCCAGTTTTTCCTGTGAAGTGGAAAGATTACGCAATTATCACACAATCCCACAACTTCACCAGAAGGATGTAGCCTAACAACACAGTGGACAGGACTTGCAGACAAGTCAATAATCAACCCAGGATCAACCCAGAAGTGAAAATAAGGTAAAGTGAATAAGTGAAGAGGACACCTGCGTGCATAAGGGATTGTGGGAGCTGGGAAACAGCTACTCAGCTATGCTGTTGATACCAAGATCACGGCTTAGTTAAAAAATGTCTAGATAAAGTCCTTGGATCAATTAGAAACCAGCAAATAAATGAGTGAGAAGGTGCCGGGTCTCAGCTCCTGGCTTAATTGAGCTTCCCGACGTTCGAACAATCAGATATACCTCAGTTTCTTCCCATTGTCGGCGACCTTTGTTTTGTTGAGAATTCCGGCCTTTTCCAAAGTCTGTAAGGGAGGGAATCGAGTAAAGCAATATTTAGTCTCAAAAAATAAAAACCTGCAGAGCTGTGTTCCTTTCATGATTCTGCATGTCCATGCAGGACAGGAAGTAATTAGTTTTCAAAGCTGAATTTAAGACAGATTTCCCTTTACATCCCAGCCATTTGCTCCCACTGTTAATACAGTACATAGTTTTCTTTCCACAAGAAATATTTAAGGAAACACATCACCCTTCAAAAGAGAAAAACAGTAGCTAATAAATTCACTACATAACTTTAAAGTAATTTTAACGAATTTGCACTAGTTCTCAAACGTATTTGCAATCTGTCCTTTCCAAAGATACATTCACCCTGTTCCACAAGTTAAATTGATCACAGAGCAGAAACACACTAATAGTTTTGAAATTTAAGGGCTAGTCTTCTAAACCTTTTTAGCTTCCCCTTGTCTGACAAAATATATCACAAAGCATTATAACAGAATTCCATTACTAATCCTTGATTTATGAAAACCCCGCTTTGCAAATTTTAGAATAAAGAAAGCGTGTTTTTTTCTGTTTTTCACAACTATGCACAGGGTTTCACAACAGGGTGATTGCTACAGTATGTACAAGTGTCAGTGGTGTTTTATATTGACGAGTTGCTTCTCTGTTTTTGTAAAAATAAGTAATGCTGAGTGAGTTTCTAGACCTCGGGTATGATAACATGTAAGGTGATGGGAATTTATTTGTTTTGCTTATTTCACCTTCTGAACAGATATTGTGGAATGCATTACGTCCGTAAATGAAGGATAGCCAGACTGCATCAGATTAAGTGTGGTCTACGTGCCCTCATTCAGTCTGAGCAGGGGGCTAGTGGCATCCTCACAGGGACAGTGAGGAGCTTCTGCCTGTCATTCGCAGCTAGGGGCTATGTTGAAAGAGTTTAAAATGTAAGATTTTTGCGTTTTTATCTTCAACATACACTCTAAAAATCATGCAGAAAAGAGAACGGGCTTTTCCCCAGAATTAAGGACATTTTTCTTGACTGTATTTTTGTCACACCAACTTTGAATGTGTTCTAACAACATTCATGACTCTTTATGGCTGTGGTTTCAAAAGACAAAACAATTACACAAGTGTTCATGACTTTTGTCAAGGTGTACATTATAGTGCGAGAGTTCAGGGAGATGGTCAGCACTATGATTAAGGTTAGGATTTGGATTAGAATGGAACCTACTGCATCTCTTGGGCTGTGGTGGAAGAATATCAAAATGGATTATGAAAGCTGTTACAACGTGTTATGAAGCCTCTAAGTAGCTATTATGAAGGATACATGGGAAGCTATTTTTTTTTCTAACGATAATACAATGTGAGCATGAGAAACTCACTAGTTTCAACATCCAAAACAGTTGGGCCTTCAGTATCTTATGCTGGTGTTGACCTCACACAAACTCCGGAATGTACTTGGTACTTACTGTACTAATCTGCAGTTTGTAATGACAAGCCTGCCTCCTGTCAGTGGAAGACAGGTACGAAAGAAACAGGAGTGCTTTAAGTACAGTAATAGTTAAGTACTTTAACTAAAGCAGTGAGTTAATGCCATGGCCATTCCTTGAACTGGGCAGCCTTGGTGGAGGCAGAACAATGATAAAAAAACAGGCATGTTAGAGTAACCCATGGTGCGTCACATGTGATTAGGATTTTGTTAGTATTCATGCCCAGCAGGGAATATCACAAGCCCGAGAACCAAGCTCTGTGAAATTGAAAGAAAGACATGCATCTGGGGAATTGAAATGCGAAGCATGAAGAAAACCATCAGGCTACTGACGTGAGGATGGAGAAAGTCTCCGCTTAGATTGGACCCGGTTCTCCTGTGTCGGAACCTGTCAGCCTTGGGGAGAGATGAAACACTGTTGGACAGCGGCGAGAGGGAGAGCTCGGATCGGGTCAGGTCGGGTCGGCACAGATGGGAGCACGGTTGTGACCACAGCAACCCATAGGTGTGGGTCCAGTGTGTGAATCTACACAACAATTACCTGTGCTTCCAAGAATGGAACGGGAACACAGTAAGTCAGTCTCACAGCACTCGCTGGGTAGCTGTCTATTGCCTTTTGCCTCAAAGGGAAGTGTGATGGACCAGCCAAGAAGTTCCCCTTTTTTTTTTAGCAGACTATCTTGGGGACATTTTTTATAGGTCTGCAGGCATTTAACTCAATAACCTGTCTGGGACATTTAAGAGAGTTCTCGAGGTGCTTTATAAAATCTGTGTGAAATTTCTGTCGTTTCTCCCTGGTTATACTGTGCTCAAAACATGCATTTACTCACCTCTGCTATGACACTGCACTGCTGGAGCCCACTCTAGCATAGTTTTACTGTGGTATCACAGTGCTTTACCTGCTCACTCTGTTTTTACCATGGTATAGCACAGCAGGCTATTATAAATAACAGAAGGGTTGAGGAAATTTGTAACAAGTCTTAAAGGAGGGTTTCTAAGACCTGGACTCCGGACCTGAAGAAAGCATCAGTGGGTGAAACAGAAGCATGTCTTTTGACGACCAGGAAGAAGCCGTGAAAATGAAATGCTCACATGGTGCAGCAGCTCCGGTGAGTTTCCAGAGCTTGAAACGTCGCTTCCGTAGTCCGAAACATTCCTCCTGTGGGAAGGGAAGAATTTCTGCGGAGAACAAGAGGAAAAATGAGAGGGGGTCGGCACCTGCCATAAAGGGGGAAAAAAGGATTTTGAGACTTTTCTAAACTTTTTCTTTTCATTCTTAAAAAACTGAATAATAATTCTACCTGGTCTGAACCCTGAGCAAACCAGAGAGTGTTAGATTAAATTAACCGATTGGACTTTAGCAAAAGGAAAAAGCAGTCGCTGTGTCTGATACAGTGCCGTTTCTACCTGCATCGCTTCATCACCCAGTGAATTAGTAAGACCTGTTTAGTCCAAATTAAAGGTGCAAACTCTTAATTAGCAAATTGAGGATTGACTGCACTTGATCAGAATGTGTTCAAATGGAACTGAACTTGTGGAAATAGTACACTTAAACTGTTTGTGAATCCAAAGACTAAGTGCAGACAAAAAAGCTAAACCAGTAAGCAGATCAGTTTCCTGTACCAATAAGCACTGGTGATTAAGGGTGATTTTGCACACTGGAGCGAAATCTATCAGACAGAGGAGTCACCCTGGTCTGTGATTGACAACTACTGATCTAGACTGGGGTCTCCCCCAACATCCACTGGTATTAGAATTGAAATATAATTGAACCCTTATCAAACTAAGAAGAGGTTAAGTTTAAACTTTTGAATTGTTTTCAGTTCCTAAACATGGAGGAAGTTGACTGCTTTTCACGACTGGGTTTCATAAGTAACTTACAATGTCCAAACCTTGGGTACAAAATCAAAGCTTGCAAAGGCTCCAAACGATTTGTTGGGTCAAATAAGGATTCATATAAGTGAAAAGCTCATGTACAAAAGAGCAGCCCCAAGAGGACCAACTCCCCGATCCAGAGCACCTGACCAGCCCAGTACACAGAACACAGAGAGCATCATGAGTTACAGGATCGTATATTTCAGCTCTTACTACTCGTTCGGCTTAGACATGCCATCACTTAAAGACACTGTCTCAGCACTTGTAAACCACAGGCGATTTGTATATGTGATATTTTTACAGAAAAACAAGGATGTTCCTCCTTTAGACATTTGAGCTATCATGCTCTCTTCTTCCGCTTTGAGAGGGCAGGGGATTGTGTTGCTGATCAAAGCTAATTCTGCTACTGAGCTACCTCAAGAGAGTTCAACGCCATTAACGTAGAAGAATATATAACTTAAGTAAAAAGCCACAGAGTCCCTCAAGTAGGGGGTCATGCCAATTTAAAAGATAAAGAATAAAGTGACTCACGTTTCCACACTACAGT